GGGGGTGCCGTGTGTGCCCCTCAGGGTGCCCGTACTTGGAGACATAGATGCCGAGGCCGAACTCCCTGCCGCCGCGGATGTTGAAGCCCAGGCAGTAGTCGTCGGAGGTGGTGTAGAGGTGGACGATGCGCCGCAGCCCGTCCTCGGAGCCGCTCTCCGACGGCGTCGAGCCGCTCTTCTCCACCACCAGGCGCCTGTTCACCACGTCCACCCTGGGGCACGGGCACAGCGCTTGTTGGGGGGGAAGCCTGGGGGTCCGGCTCTTGACCTCCGGCAGCATGGGGGCATTGGTGTCACCCAGCAGAGGAAGAGCAATGGGGATGGAGGATGTTGAGGATGGGGCTTGCACCCACCCTGCCCTGCTCCAGACCTTCCAGTCCCATCCCATGCCCCACCTTGGGCTCTCCCCACCTTTGTCAGAGACCTCCAATGCCCCCCACGCTGAGGGTCCCCAAACTCTGGGATCCTCTCTGCTCCCCAGCATCCCCCACCGAGCGTCCCCCACCATGCCCTCCATGAAGCTGGGCTTTGAGGTGCTGGCATGGGGGTCATCCTGCTCACCATGCCGTCTTCTCCTTGGAGAACTTGATGCCCGGCACGCGGCCCATCCTCCGGACCACCATGCGGAGGCGGTTGTTGCCAGTGAGGACCTTGACGGCGCTGCTCATGGTGATGTTCTCCAGGCTCACGCTGTTCACCTCCGTGATCTTGTCACCAACACACAGCCCGGCCTGCTCTGCGAGGGGCACACGGCTGGCTGGACCACCTCACCTGGCACCAATGTCCTTCTTTGGCATCCCCTCCCTAAATGTGTCCCCCAACCTGATCTGAACCCCACGGGAACAGAGGTGGAGGCGCCTGGCAATCCCACCGAGGCTGTGGCATGCACAAGGGGGCTTGTCACCTTGCTGTGGCTTGGGGATGGAGCTCAGAGCCATCAGCACAGGGTGTCTCCAACCCTTCCCCATGGGCAGCCTGAAAACCCCACGGTGAGAAGAAGCAGAGAGCAAATGGTGGCCTGCCACCACGAAGGGTGGCATTGCCCATGTGGGACCACCTCACTGGGAGCTTCCCAACAGGGTCTTGCTGGCATGTGCCCGTCCCGACTGCCATCCCTGGCCCTGGCACGCTTACCGGCAGCGCTGCCTTCCTCCACCTTGCTGACGAAGATGCCCAACCCATGCTCGGAGCCACCCCGGACGCTGAAGCCCAGCTTGCCATCCATGCTCTTCTCCACCGTGATGGCATTGATGATGTCGCTCTCATTGCTGCTGGCTGTGGGGGGGACAGGGTGGGGACAGGATGTGTCACCCGGGCTGGGTGCAAGCAACACCCCCGCCGTTGTGTGTGTGTCCCCCTCGCTGGGGATGTCCCCAGTCGCAGGACAACTCTCCCTGCCCCCCAAAACCTGGGGAAACCAAGTGTCTGGACCCACCTCCCCCCCAACCCCGGCCATGGGGGTGGGCAGAGAGCTGGGAGGGCACCCCCACGCACCTTCGATGGGGGTGTTGATGAGGATGACGCGGCCCATGGGGGACGTGGCACGGCCGACCCGGGTGGTCCCGTTGAGCAGGCGGCTCTGCTTGCTGAGGAGGCAACGGGGGGCCAGGCTGGCCTCGCTGCTGGAGCTCCGCGACCGACTGCCCGTCGTCATCCCCGACAGCCCTGCGTCCCAGCCCTGGGCCATGGCGGTGCTGGGCACCCCGCTGTCCCGGTATCCGGCTCCGGGTTGGCAGCGTCCTCACGGGGCTGGGGCTGCCCACCGGCCGGGGGGGGACATGGCATAGTCCAGCAGCACATGCCCGGGCTGGGGCACCGCTCCCTCTTAGCAGCGCGATGCTGAGACAGGCTGGAGTGGGTGCTTGGAGATGGCAGGAGGGGTCCCGGGTGCAGTGGCAGAGCCTGGGAGGGGTGGGGGGACACACACAAGGAGCTTTGTGACACCCCCCCAACCCCAGCCCTATCCCCTCCCTAGCCCTGGGGACCAAACTGCTGCAGGGCTCCTGGGTGCCACCGTGGGGGGGTGGGCACAGGCTGGCCTGCCCTGGGGTAAGATACCTGGGTGAAAAGGGGGGTAAATCCAAAAAAGGGGCTTTACCTGGTGGCGTAAATCCAGCAAGACCCCAGCGAGGGGACGCGGGGACCTCAGCTCTATACCAGAGAGCAGGACTTGACCCCCCCGGCCCCCTCCCTGGGGAGGTTTTGCGGCAGGATGTGGGGAGACCCCCTCCTCATTCCTCCCCGAAACCCCTCCGGATTTACACCGCCGTGGGGCAGGGGCTGCCCCCCCTCCCCC